ATATATATGCAAATATACACGTATATACTGAGAAACTCTAACGATGTTGAAGTTTTCGTTTTTTTATGTGATTTTAGCTATCGGTTTTTATTTACCCCATCTTGGATCACATTCTGTAACTGCAGGTGTCGACGAAAAATCGCAGCGCGGTGGCTAGTTCTGATCTTCGAGACCAGCACATTAAAAAAGCACAAGCACACATTGTGCAAACAAAAACAGATTCAGGATCGCAGACCAATGGGTCGCAAGATCGCCGGGAAAAGAATGTGAGTGCTGTACATATGAACGATAAGGGCCGAGCGGGTATGCCTTCCGGTGGCTCGGAAGTTAAGCTGAAAACTGAACCAGTCGTGACTACCGGCTGGGGAGATGCATCCAGGGACGGTGATAGTAAAGGTGTTGGTGAGGTGGACAAGAAATCAGATATCGGATCCGCGATGGGTGCTGACTTTGGGGACCGATATAGAGTTGGTGAGGGTGGGGGTACTGGAAATGTGGACTATAAACAAGAGAACAACAGCGATGTAAAGGAGGAGCGCCAAGTTCCCCCCCTGCCGCCATCGCAGCCTCTAAAAACCCGGAACGATAGGCGGGAGCATTTGCATGCTTACCAGAGTCAGTCGCAACTAATGCAAGCACTCGCTGGAGAACAGGCGCGGATAGAGCAGACATCCCTCAAAGCACAGCCGTCTTCACAAGCACAGAGGCATGAACGGGGCGACAGCGCGGCACACAGTCCATCGCAGTACATGTCACAGCGCCTGTCGCCAATTCTATCGCAAGCCCCTAACCGCCTCTTGGCACCCCGACCGGCCGCTGCTGTAGCACGTGGGAATGGCACGTTGTTGGAGGAAGCATCGGGCAAACAAGTGAAGCCGCCACAGACCCAGACTTACGATCAGCGCATACAGGAACAGCAAGAGCGGGCCCACCAGTTAGAGCAACAGCAGCGCATGCTGGAGGCCATACACGAGCACGAAGCATCGACGACGACTGAGAGATCGCCGTCCCCGCGAGTGGGGAGCATTAGGGATATAAAAGGGGCCGACAGAGGGCAATGGCCCCAAAGACAGGACGCCTCTCCCTCAATACGTGCCCAGCAATCGCCCAGTGGCACACAGCAGGCGCGAGCACAGAGAGGGGCGGATGGGGGGGCTTGGAATGGCTCAGGGCCCATGAAGTTCCGAGAACACGATACGGAAGCGGCCAGCAGTGCGCCGCAAGACAGGGTGTATCGGTTCGACCAAAGGCCCGACCGAGAAGTGGGCAGAAGTCTGGGGGACTCTCTGAAGGATCAGTTTGGCGAGGGTATGAAGGCGCGGTCAGTCACGTACTCCCCACGGCTGAGTGTGCGCGACGAGCTACTTGTGACACACCGCTCGAAGTCTCAGCAGGACACTTTGAAGCCGTATGGCTCGGGTGCGGGTTCTGATGCGGAGTTGCCTACAGTTGCAAGCCCTGCGAATGGCAGCTTGAGAAGAGGGGCCAACGAATGTGCGAGCGTCAGCCCGAGTATGGGTATGGGTTTGGAGGTGCCGTTGAAATGGCAACGCAATCCATCTACCCAGAGTGAGAATCTCGGTATGGCGCGGTCCCCACAGTATTCGGCAAGGGCTGGTATGACGCCAACTATCCAGGGAGGGGAGGCGAAGCATGATGCAGCACAGCCACACTCACAATATCACCGAGAACAACGGGTCAACGTGTCTCTTACTCGCCCGAGAAGTGCAGACGTACTCACACATGGTATGGATATGCATGCGGGAAGGGAGACGAAGAGGGTTCGGTTGGATGAGATGAGGCCCATGGTCAGCTCACGGTCACAGCCACGATTACCGCAAGTACAGGCACAAGCACAAGCCCAAGCAGAACTGGAAACCCAGGCGCATTTGCGAAGGCAGCCTCAGGGTCTTACTCGAGAACAAGCAATGCATACACGAGACCAAGGTATGTATTCCCGGGCGCAGCTCCAACAGAGGACACAATCACCGCAAATGCAGTCACAGCCGACGAGAGATGCGGAAGCACAGGGACAACGCCAGCTAGAAAGAGGCGAGGCCTACTTGCACAAATCTGCACCGTCCAGGAGTGTGGGAGATGATCAGCACGGCCTGGATTGGAATGATGAAGGTGCGGGCGGTATTGGGGCTATGCGGAGTATGGCGCAACAGGCAGGACAAAAGAGCCCTCAATATCAAAGCCTGCGGTCGCAGCGAACGCTGGAGTCTATCCCGCATCAACGGCGGGACACGGCCGAGAGGGCGTACGCTGAGCGTCTACAAGGGAATGTCACCGGTGGGTTGCGCGAGCGGGGTCGTGAAGGGGATCGGGAGATCTACCGCGGTCACAGAGGTGAAGATGACTACGACAGAAAGTACTACCAAGCAAGCGGGGGGTTGTCTAACCGAGAGTATCGATACGAACGAGAATTGGAAAGGGCAAGAGAATTGGAAAGAGAAAGGGAAATAGGAAGGGAAAGGGAAAGGGAATGGGAAAGGGAATGGGAAAGATATAGAGGAAGAGATAAGGAGGAATCAGACCTCAGAGAATGGCACAAGGGTGCAAGCACGGGCAGAGATATGAAGAGAAGAGAGGACCGGCGACGAGACATGGAACTCGACGGATTTCGGGAGATAACGTACAGAGACTATCTCGACCGCACGGGTGAGAATCTGGGACAATTTCTACCCGGTTTGTCCAGAGAGGATGGGCCATGGTTCAACGACCGACCACTTGTGGCGAACCAACGGTACATGGTAGAGGGAACCTACAAGAGGTCCACAATGCCCACAGATAGGGGTTACGATTACATGCACAAGCGTGGAGACATAGACGGTTCTGTGGATCCCAAGAAGGCTATATCCGAGAGTCCGTATGACTATCGGGAGGTGTATACTGACAGCAAGGACGGCTTGGTAGACGAGCGCGAGAGAGCGCGTGCGATGAGTCGAGGTGCGTTCGATCCAATGGGCGACGCAAGGCAGAGGGATATGCACGAGTCACGTGCCTTCCGCACACAGGCAGAGAGTGAGCGGGATCTTCGCATGCTCGAGGATAGACGGAGAGAGGCGGACAGGGACGGTATGGACCGTTTGCCCTCGCGGACCAGGCCATCGGAGTGGACTAGGGCAGACCCCAGAGACAGGTCGAGGTTTGAGGTCGAAGCAGAGGCCGATAGTGCGCGTAAGCTGCGGCACTCGCCCTATTTGGAAAATGGGCGGACAAGTGGGGGTAGAGACGTGGGGGGAGATTATCTGGAGAGTATCGCGGACCAGAACACGGCTAGTGCAAGAGACCCAAGGAGTGACCGAGAGGCCGGCGACTGGCCCGCAGGCGTAGACCGAGAGAGTAGTCTGTCGCGAGCACGGAGTCAACCGGGGATAGCCCAAAGAAGCAGGGCGTCCCATGTGAGTGCAGTACCACCCAAAGCACGTAAGGAGCAATCCCCGAGTGCACGGGCACGTCATCTGTCCAACGCACAGGTACGCGGACAGGGCCATGAACAGCCGAGCGTATCTCAGTCGCACCTGGGCGTGGTGGGGACGAACGCGCATCTGGGGGTGAGTTCTACCAAAGGCTCGCTGCTCCTGAGCTCCGGTACTGCTGGCAGCCTAGTGGCCGGGCCTTACTATACACGGGAGCGGAAGTACAGTATCGTGAGCGATTCGCATAACAATGCCGACTCGAAGCAAGGTTCTGGCCGGGTGAGGAGAAACTCGATGCACACGACCGGCTCGGGGGGGTCTCCTGGGGGGTCTGATGTGGAGCCGGTCGATGCTACGCCGGCTGAGAAGGAGAACTGGCGGAAGATGAAGCACAAGAAGCAGGAGCGCAAACGCCGCGATATGCACAACGACTCGTTTCGGAAACTGGGGACCCTGCTGCCGTCCAAGGACGATATAAACCTGGTACGTCGGGGCTTGCCTACTTTGGTGTATACCTCTATTTTACGCTAAAGCGAATACCTGCTCGTGTCTGACATTTAGCCTTTTCGCAATCGAGATTTGGTTATCTATATACATATGCACGTATATACATGTAGCTTACTCAAATTGTTAACAGAAATTTGAATTCCTATCTGCCCTTTTTTTATAGTGGCCACTTTGATCTGGTCTCAAACAGTCTTTTGTGTCACTTTTATGCCCCTATTTCTTGTATACCAGTCTTGAATCACTACATTTCAAGCTATTCTGCAGAGCCTTCCCTCCATTCTACTATGTACTCCTCCAAGTCACCATTCTCATCCATTGTAAGACCTATAAAGCTTCATCACGGCACTCTTCTAACCCGTACACCCATACACTCCTCGCAGCCTAAGGTACAAGTCCTCACAGAAGCCATCACACACATCCACGAGCTTCGCCGCATAGGAAGTGCACTTGAGAACGTGCGCGCAACCACAGCCGAGCAAACACGCGAACTGCAGTACTGCCTGCGCAGTTTATTGCGAGACCGGCAGCGTAGGGGCTTGTCCGTGCCCTCCATCGATCCGGCCCTCTTGGATGTACCACCGCTCGCGTTCAACAGGCCTGTAGGTAGCCGAGAGGGCATGCGAAGCCGATCAGTGACTGACTATGAACATGCGGAACGACAGCAGACGGCCCGAGGCAGCGGGCGGGATGAGGGGTACAAGGAGAGTCTCAGAGACAGAGATGCAGATGCAGATGCAGATGGAGAGAGAGATCAAGACGGTGGTAGGTATATGGACCGAGACAAGCACACAGAGGACACCCCGATAGACGCAGAGAAGCATGCGAGTGCTGATGCGTACGATAACGCAGACGGCAGTGGCGAAGATGATGACGAGGGCGATCCCGGCGTAGGCGTGCATACAGTCAAGGAGTTTGTGGTCAAGATAAAGGGAGGCTCAGGGTCGGAGTGGTTGAGTTTCTCGTCCATGCACAAGAGTGCCACAAACCCAAAGGGCTCGCTCCTTGCCACTACTACCAACAGTAATGACAACAACAGCAACAGTAACAACAACAACAACAACAACAGTAGCCACAACACTGGCGGACACGGCAGTGGTGACCTTGACCCGAGCAGCAGTAGCAGGGCCTTCGACGCACCTTACGGGGGTACTAATAAGCACGGTAGGGAAGACTGGTTGTCCAATGGTGGCCAGAAACGACCCACAGGGCACAAGCGCAAGCCATCCTCTCTCTCCACCTCCGATGCCTACTCAAGCGCCTTCGCACAGCCAACGCCAGGTATGCGCAGTGTCAGCGGCGGTAGACCATACACGGCCCCCAATCGAGGTCAACAAGTGCCCACAAGCACACAGACAGTCGGAGACAACAGCACATACAGCCGAGGCCTCGAGAGCTTCTCTCACCAGGCTCGGGCGCAGCGGGGCATGAGTAAACAGATGGGGTCTCAGCGGGCGTACTCGCCAGCTCGAGAAGCCTCGTCACGGACCTGGTCTCCCATGCGTGAGAGAGACAGTGGTGGACGACAGAGTGGGACCCAGCTGAAAGGTGCAGCAGACAGAGGGGACGGATCGGCCAAGATGCGGCTGTTGAGACTGCACGTGTCGGTCAGTGAGGCGCAGGAGATGGATGTGGACGAGGTGGTTGGAGAGGGGAAGGCAGGAGGACTACGTGACAGGTACGGAGGCACGCGTTCAACTGATGACAGCAGACTGGAGGGGAGTGCCATGAGAGCCGACGAAGCCGGTGCGATGCGGAGGTGCGGTAGTACAAAGTATTACTCGGATCAGCAGGAGAATCCGTACGGTTATGACGATGACGTGGAACACTATGGCCGAGACAAGAGGCATATCGCATATGAAGCCGAGCAGTACTACGTCGATGAGTTCGGGTTTGAATACGAGCCAGAGGACCTGGAGGCGAGCGATATAGAGTATGACGAAATCGAAGATGCCCTTGCTGCCCAACTACAAATGGGGGATAGGGGTAGGTATAGGGAAAGGTATGGGGACACAGACATGGTGCAAGGTGATAAGTCTGTAGGCGGATATACCGAGAGTACTGGTATACTCTCTCACGCGTCACGTCCCCCCACCGACGAACACGGAAATGCCTCTGTCAATCCGCGCAGTGAGTTACAGGGCAATAAATCGGCAGGTGGACACGGTAACAACAAACATAGCCAGATGCCGAACCCCAGGTCAAAGGGTAAGAACAGTGTAGGTAGGAATAGTGTAGGTACTATTTCCATAACTCCTAACCCGCCGCCACGAAATCGTAGTAGGGCTAGTACGAGCTCGGCCGCTAAGCGCAAAACGCCCAAGTCTCGATCTAACGCTCGCAGGAACAGTGAGAGTGCTGGAGGGATCCATTCGGATGCGTATGACGGTTATCATGGCAACGAGGATGGTGGAGCCAGCGGTGCGGAGGGAACGTATGGAAGGGGCGGTAGACCGGGACACAACGAGAACGAGCGTCGGCGAAGGTCTCAGATGAACCAGGCTTTCAACGAACTTCAGCTTAGACTACCCGTATTCAGAGCCATGTCAAAACCCTCGAAGGTATGTGATACTCGTGTGCTTGTTGAGTTGCAGTAGATCGTATCATGGGCATATTTAGATGTTGATCTGTGTTGGAATGTTTAAGTTTTGTTTGTGTTTCCGAGTTAAAAGATTGGTTTTTACTTTAGGTTTTGATCAGGGGTCTTACGCGTATATAGATATTTATATATTATATA